GGTTGTCATTAAGTGTGTGTAGTATTGGGGTTTTGGACAACCAGTTTGGGGGTTGGTTGTGATTTAGTGTAGGGAATAGAAAAAGGGGGTAAGGGGTAAGGGTCTCGAAAAAGCAAATATGGAAGTGGATTTTGTGTTGCCATCTACGTCTTAATGTTAGAAAAACAGGTGAAGTAGTGTTCACGTATGTTAGTAAGGTAAAGTAGAGATGAATGAACTGATGAACACTTTACAAACTGGCTACTGGCTATATATGTATATGTATTCTTCAATTAATTCTTATCAGCCTTTAGGTTAATGTTTTTGTGCTAACGCAACAGTAAGAACAAGTTGTTAAAGGAGATAGGCCTGGTGTGTGGGTTAGGATTATGGTGCGTTAGGCTAGGTATGACATTTTTAGCCTAGCGACGGGGTAAAAACGGCTCAGCTTAGGAGCCACAGTCGAGGCCAACCGACACACCGGAGACAAAGACAATAGACTCCCGGGGGAGCCGCTTGAGCAGTGCTCAGCCGTTTTGTTTTCTCAGCCATAAGGACAGGGGCAGGCTTAGTGTCGTTCTGTAGCGTCGAGACAAAGACAAGCATGAGATCTATGATGCAGATACAATGAACAGCAGCATTCAACATTCAACAATAACAGGCACACGGCGTGATTCAGACAGATTACGCGAAGAAGTACTCACCAACAACATACACACACTTCGCGCTTCAGACACAAGTACACGGGCGATCCAAATAAACAGACACGCACTATGTGATTCAGACACATTGAGTGAATGAGTACTCTAACAGACACGCACTATGCGATTCAGACAAATTTAGTGAATGAGTACTCTAACAAACACGCACTAAGTAATTCAGACACATTAAGTGAATGAGTACTCTAACAGACACGCACTATGCGATTCAGACAAATTTAGTGAATGAGTACTCTAACAGACACGCACTATGTAATTCAGACAAATTTAGTGAATGAGTACTCTAACAGACACGCACTATGTGATTCAGACACATTAAGTGAATGAGTACTCTAACATACACGCACTATGTAATGCAGAGACAATACATGCAGCAGTAGTCAACAATCACCTAACCTACAGACAGACACTACATTATCCCAACATAACTCCACGATATGCTGAATTCCACGCTAACTACAACCAAAACAATAACACCGCACTGCAGTGGCGTAGGCAGGGGGGGGGGGGGTAGGGAGGGTCATAACCCCCCCCCCCCCCCCCCATAGACCCCTCGGTTTATATATAAAGTATTAGGGGGGTGCTAATCGAAAGTTTGAGGGGGGATGCAAATCAAAAGTCTGAGGGGGGTGCAAATCGAAAGTTTGTCCCCGGGTAAAAATTGGACCCCCCCCCCCTTGAGACGATCCTGGCTACGCCACTGCCGCACTGATTTACAAATTACTTGTTCCAGTCCCCCCCCCCCCCCCTCCCCACAGACACACTATTTCTATAGGTATCTGCTCCTATCAACGTAGCATGAGATAAAACAAAACAAAAACACATCATTTACTGCCCAGTGTAGTTTTAATTTCGCGCATTGCTGTTAAAGACTTAATTTGTTGAGTGTGATTGATTTCTCACAGAATAAATCAAAATCATTACTGAAGTGAGAAGTATAAATAAACATTTAAGAACTTTAAGTGTTAGAAAGTAAAGTTACCCTCTTCAACCAGGGGCAGATGAAGCAGAGCTCATCTGTTTCTGTGACCTAGTCAAGTGAAAGGATAGCTGACTTTACTATCTCTAGAACAAAAGTTGACTCAGGGACTTCATACGGTAAAACAGGGGATCCGAACTTGAGACTTCTACCGTTCGGCCACGCCGTCTGCTAACATATTTTTGTCCTTTTATATTCCTAGATCTTCATCGTCAAATATCACTGTGATTTAATTATACAAGTAAAAATGTAACAATACCGTGAACTTGAGCTAATTGTTTGAGTATAATTATACAGTCTTGTGTCATAATTTTCATAATTCCATGATGCATACAAAATACTAATTTCTACGTCAAAATCTGTATCTTTTTTATTCAAATAAACACGTATTCATCTACACACCTTTAATTTATTTTTCCCTCGTCGAATTCAAGCAGATCACCAAGTGACATTCAAATTTACGTTCTAGCAAACACATAAAAAAAACCCAAGGCAAATAAGGCTGACTTTTGAATAATCCGTTTGTACTCAATCTAGCGCCCACACCGCGACAAGGTGAAAAAAAAATCCTCCAACAAATTGTCTTAAGGATGTTGTTTAAATTTGGCCTTTATCGTAAACCTGTCTCTGCTCCATCAATATCGTTAGTGGCAGACGGAATTTATTTATTTTCGCTTTTTTTTTCTTCACCCCAGCGTTTCTTTCCTATCACCCAACTGATTGTAATTTATTTATAACAAAAACCATCGTGACATCAGCGTTTGAAATACACTGGCAATATATATTTACATGATTAGAAACAAATAGAGCTGCATTATAAGTAAAAGAAAGTATTCTTTAGAACGTTTAGTTGCAGGAAGCAGGTGAAGTAGAGTTCACTTTTTTTTCAGCGACCTCGGCATATGAAAGGATATTGTCGTCAGCACTGTGCCCAGCCGCCTTTCCTTTACGTAAGTCAGGTACCAATCAGGGCTGAGCGGACTCAGTGAGTAAGGGACTGTAGCCCTGAATTATCAGTAATCAAGTTTAAAGCGTCATAATAATTTAAAATATATATCTTTCTTCTAAGTCATCTTCAAATACGCACGCAAATTTTAAAGTACAAACCCATTTGCAATCAGAAACGCGTCCATTCTCTATTAAAATCAATTCAAGGATCCTCAATTTGTTTCATCTTGCCGTCAACTTTTTACACCGTCTGATCAAACATTTAGTTTACAAGGAGCCCCAAAAAGTGTATTTCAAATTTAGAAAATCTCCTCTCTATTCTAAATCTAAACCCCCAAGATTGACTCATTTCAATAAAATAAATCTTTCACCTTCAAAAGAATGAGAATGAATCAAACTACCTCTCAACGCTTACGCTAGATTAGTTTTTCATTTGAGGATAATTCGTTCATTGCCTGAATCAGTGAATGCAAGCTAGTTAAAACTATTTTTTTAATTCTCTAAAATATGTATAGGTTTCATTTGGTTCCCAGGTTTAACGTCTGGGAAATGGCGGCATAAAACGTAATTTTAATCCGGGGTGAGAGGGTTCTATAGAGAACATAAGCTCTCAGATTTTTTAAACTCTGCCATCAAAGAGTGGTGGATACTGATTTTCTCTTATAGATCTAGTTTATAAGTAATATTTCCTCTAAGGGGAAAAAGCTAGTGTGCAACGTGTATTTTCTATGAGCGGTGTTCTTAAAAGTCTTAAACAAGGATATATTTAGTTTACAAAATCACTGCGCGGCAGCTGAAAACTACTGCGCGGCCGCGCAACCGCGCAGCTTAGAGGGAACACTGTGTAGAGGTGACTAGAGTGATGTTGAGCTAAAAGTGGCTCCAATTTTTAAAATTATTTTCGTTAATTTTAATTTATTAACGATTTTGCTTTAAGATGTATATAATGTCACTTTAGTTTAAGTTGGCCGTACAAAAATGTAGAGTTAAAGATTCTAGAGCCGGGTTTAGTGACGACTATTAGGGGCAGATAATTTAGTTTGAAACGATTTTAAACGTGGGGGGGGGGGGGGGGAAGGGGGGGGGGGGTTATGGTCCTTAACGTGTCCTTATAGTGTTTTAAATACACATTTTCAGTGGCAGCGTTGGTACCGTCGAATTCACAAATTATGAATTACTGAAAAGTAGAAAAAAAAACAACGGGTCGGCTCGTCTTTTATAAACCGTTATTTAACCTGCCTCTTATAAACAATTAATTTGTATCGCAACAGAACCAACTCTGATGTATCGCTGCTATTACGGAGAGCTAGTCACAATTTTGACAAAACAAGTTTTCAAATCTTGTCAGTTGGACACTTACCGGGGTGTATAAACATTTTCATAACCCCCCCCCCCCCCCCCATCTTTTAACATCATACACCCGTGTGTCATATTGGCAGCGTGTATCCTCTTATCTTGTCGACTTCAAACCATTCACCTTAAATCTGGCAGACAAGTTGTTTTATTGTTCTGGCACGTCCGGTGTTTTTGCTCTTTAATGCGCGCAGCCAGACGGAAACGAAAGGCTCACCCTAAAAATTACTTCATTAGAAAATGTTCACGCGGTAAAGTGAAATAATGGGAGACTCGGCTTACTCGACCTCTCACGTCGTGTCTACCTCCACCCCCACCCCCCCTCACCCCCACCCCCCCTCACCCCCACCCCCCCCCCCCCCCTCACCCCCACCCCTAAACATTCAGCCGGTTCGCTAGGAGCCTGAGATTAAATGAATCGAACGGACAAGAGGTAAAGGCTAAATTAGTAGTCTCGGGTTTCAGGGCTTAGCGTTACTGTTTTCTTAAGCCCCCTGAGCGCTGTGTTGCGTTACTTTTACGTGACATAGGCGGAGAAATATGTCGGGGGGTTGGGGCGCAGGATTGTTGTAGAGTGCTGTCGTTGAGGTGGTGTATGGTGCAGGATTGTTGTAGAGTGCTGTCATTGAGGTGTGTTTTAGTGCAGGATTGTTGTAGAGTGCTGTCATTGAGGTGGACTTTGGTGCAGGATTGTTGTAGAGTGCTGTCATTCAGGTGGGTTTTGGCACAGGATTGTTGTAGAGTGCTGTCATTGAGGTGGGCTTTGGTGCAGGATTGTTGTAGAGTGCTGTCATTCAGGTGGGTTTTGACACAGGATTGTTGTAGAGTGCTGTCATTGAGGTGGGTTTTGGTACAGGATTGTTGTAGAGTGCTGTCATTCAGGTGGGTTTTGGCACAGGATTGTTGTAGAGTGCTGTCATTGAGGTGGGTTTTGGTACAGGATTGTTGTAGAGTGCTGTCATTGAAGTGGGTTTTGGTGCAGGATTGTTGTAGAGTGCTGTCATTCAGGTGGGTTTTGGCACAGGATTGTTGTAGAGTGCTGTCATTGAGGTGGGTTTTGGTACAGGATTGTTGTAGAGTGCTGTCATTGAGGTGGGTTTTGGTACAGGATTGTTGTAGAGTGCTGTCATTTTGATGGTGTATGGTACATGATTGTTGTAGAGTGCTGTTGTTGAGGTGGGTTTTGGCGCAGGATTGTTGTAGAGTGCTGTCATTCGGGTAGTATTTTGTATAGCGGTGTAGTACAATCCTGTCACAGGTGGTATGTGGGACAGGAGTTGTATACAGTGCTGTTCGATGGGTGGGCTTTGGTGTGCAAGTGTGTTGGACAGTGCTGTTCAATAAATGGTCTTTGGTATAGAAGTTTCTAACTTACCAATGGATTGGAAAAACCCAAGTCTAGTCTATATTTATCTGATTAAAAAAATCTTGAAAAATGTTTTTTTTAAAAACTGCAGTACGATTTGCTTTTGTTAAAAAATAATCACGTAACGTAAACTAAAACATGCAGCTTAAAAAAGGACCAAACACAACTATATACACACAAGCCAGACAGCTTTGTTGAGGGTAAAGTCTTTGATCCGGTTATATTCAACGACAATTATTCACGTCTTAAACGGAAACAAAAAAATAAAGGAGAGGTAGACGTTTCCTCTCCATGTGTGGGGGTCTTGTGTGTGTGTACGTGTGTGAGTGAGAGTGCGTGTGTGTGTGAACTGTGTGTGTGTGGACGTGTCGCCACTCACTTTAGCGGGTCGCGTCATATAAACATTGTGAACAGTGTCTAGCCCCTTTCAGCGGGCTTTTCATCTTTCAAAAAGTGATAGCTCATTGCACCGGAACAATGCGCGATTATCATGTACTGTCCGCCGCGGCCTTGGTCTCAGATCATCTGTCATGGGAGGGGGAGGGAGGGGGCAGGGGGGGGGAGGGGGAGGGGAAGGGGGTGGCAGCTCTCCTCCAGCCTGGTAGGTCGCGCTTAAAATGAAATACTGAGGTAGGCTACGCTAAGAAAAGGAGGTAGGTGAAGCTAGGAAAATGAGGTAAGTCACGCTAAAACACACCACTGAGGTAGGTCCCACAAAAAGTAGGGTAGGTTACGCTAAGAACGCTGTGGAGTAGGTCACGCTAAAATAAAATACTGAGGTAGGTCACGCTAAAATTATTACACTGAGGAGTAGGTCACGCTAAAATAAAATACTGAGGTAGGTCACGCTAAAATAAAATACTGAGGTAGGTCACGCTAAAATTATTACACTGAGGTAGGTCACACTAAAATAAAATACTGAGGTAGGTCACGCTAAAATAAAATACTGAGGAGTAGGTCACGCTAAAATAAAATACCGAGGTAGGTCACGCTAAAATAAAATACTGAGGTAGGTCACGCTAAAATAAAATACTGAGGTAGGTCACGCTAAAATAAAATACTGAGGTAGGTCACGCTAAAATAAAATACTGAGGTAGGTCACGCTAAAATAAAATACTGAGGTAGGTCACGCTAAAATAATTACACTGAGGTAGGTCACGCTAAAATAAAATACTGAGGTAGGTCACGCTAAAATAAAATACTGAGGAGTAGGTCACGCTAAAATAAAATACTGAGGTAGGTCACGCTAAAATAAAATACCGAGGTAGGTCACGCTAAAATAAAATACTGAGGAGTAGGTCAGGCTAAAATAAAATACTGAGGTAGGTCAGGCTAAAATAAAATACTGAGGTAGGTCAGGCTAAAATAAGATACTGTGGAGTAGGTCACGCTAAAATAAAATACTGAGGTAGGTCAGGCTAAAATAAAATACTGAGGAGTAGGTCAGGCTAAAATAAAATACTGAGGTAGGTCAGGCTAAAATAAAATACTGAGGTAGGTCACGCTAAAATAAAATACCGAGGAGTAAGTCAGGCTAAAATAAAATACTGAGGTAGGTCCCGCTAAAATAAAATACTGAGGTAGGTCACGCTAAAATAAAATACTGAGGAGTAGGTCAGGCTAAAATAAAATACTGAGGTAGGTCACGCTAAAATAAAATACTGAGGAGTAGGTCAGACTAAAATAAAATACTGAGGTAGGTCACGCTAAAATAATTACACTGAGGTAGGTCACGCTAAAATAAAATCCTGAGGTAGGTCACGCTAAAATAAAATACCGAGGAGTAAGTCAGGCTAAAATAAAATACTGAGGTAGGTCAGGCTAAAATAAAATACCGAGGTAGGTCAGGCTAAAATAAAATACTGTGGAGTAGGTCACGCTAAAATAAAATACTGAGGTAGGTCAGGCTAAAATAAAATACTGAGGTAGGTCACGCTAAAATAAAATACTGAGGTAGGTCACGCTAAAATAAAATACCGAGGTAGGTCAGGCTAAAATAAAATACTGTGGAGTAGGTCAGGCTAAAATAAAATACTGAGGAGCAGGTCACGCTAAAATAAAATACTGAGGTAGGTCACGCTAAAATAAAATACTGAGGTAGGTCACGCTAAAATAAAATACTGAGGTAGGTCACGCTAAAAAAAATACTGAGGTAGGTCACGCTAAAATAAAATACTGAGGTAGGTCACGCTAAAATAAAATACCGAGGTAGGTCAGGCTAAAATAAAATACCGAGGTAGGTCAGGCTAAAATAAAATACTGTGGAGTAGGTCACGCTAAAATAAAATACTGAGGAGTAGGTCAGGCTAAAATAAAATACTGAGGTAGGTCAGGCTAAAATAAAATACCGAGGTAGGTCAGGCTAAAATAAAATACCGAGGTAGGTCAGGCTAAAATAAAATACTGTGGAGTAGGTCACGCTAAAATAAAATACTGAGGAGTAGGTCAGGCTAAAATAAAATACTGAGGTAGGTCAGGCTAAAATAAAATACTGAGGTAGGTCAGGCTAAAATAAAATACTGAGGTAGGTCACACTAAAATAAAATACTGAGGTAGGTCACGCTAAAATAAAATACTGAGGTAGGTCACGCTAAAATAAAATACTGAGGTAGGTCAGGCTAAAATAAAATACTGAGGTAGGTCACACTAAAATAAAATACTGAGGTAGGTCACGCTAAAATAAAATACTGAGGTAGGTCACGCTAAAATAAAATACTGAGGTAGGTCAGGCTAAAATAAAATACTGAGGTAGGTCACGCTAAAATAAGATACCGAGGTAGGTCACGCTAAAATAAAATACTGAGGAGTAGGTCAGGCTAAAATAAAATACCGAAGTAGGTCAGGCTAAAATAAAATACTGAGGTAGGTCACGCTAAAATAAAATACCGAGGTAGGTCAGGCTAAAATAAAATACTGAGGTAGGTCAGGCTAAAATAAAATACGGTGGAAGGTCACACTAAAATAAAATACTGAGGTAGGTCACACTAAAATAAACACACTGAAGTAGGTCACACTAAAATAAACACACTGAGAAGCCGCATGCTAAGAACATGATGTAGGTCACGCTAAAATACAACAGTGAAATAAGTCACGCTATAACAGTGAGGTAGGTCACGCTGTAACATTGATGTGTGCATTACGTAACGTCCAGCCAGTATTAACTACATAGTTCATCAGACATTATTGACGTTCGCCTGAAAACGCTGTAAAGTGTCGAGGGCAGGAATTTGTCATGGGGGTTCAGTCCTAGTCAAAGGCGTAGCGAAGGGGGGTGTACATATGTCACCGGGTGCCAACCCTAGGGGCACCAAAATGGGTTTTAAAAATTAAAAGCTCATTTTACCTGCAGTTTTGCATTATAAATATAAAAAATATATGGGGGGGGGGGGGCCGCCAAATTGAAAGTTTGTCCCGGGGGGTCGGGAAGGGTCGCTACGCCTCTGGTCCTAGTTATATCGCGTAACGATTTTAAAGACGTAAAATTATTGGGATGCTTATACCCCCTTTCCTTATATCAATGTGATAGCTAGAAAGACACGTTGAATCCAATGGCCAATGTCATGTTTAAATAATTGGAACAAATATATTTACAAAAGGGACAGTTGCGTTTGCGTAAGTGAGGTCGGGGAGAGTGTGTGTGTGGGGGGGGGGGGGGGGGGAGCTGAAAGAACGATGGTTTTGAGACACAAATGGAATCAGAAATGCATCAGGGTACGTCTACAGTCTTTACGTTTTAGTGCGTGTATTCCGCCTCTGATGTTACCGCATCATTAGTACGTCATTGCTGCCACCAATGCCGGCTTGGGAGGTCTAGGGGGTGGGGGGGGGGGAGGAGGTGGGGTGAGAGGATGATTGTGACATAAATCAAAGTCATTACGGCAGAGAAACAAATCTGTTCTACACGTTTCTTTATTAGTAGTCTTCTCTAATCTGTGTAGCGTTTACAAAAAAAAAAAAAAAAATACACCTCAGACCAAGTCTTCATTGAGTAAATATCCCCCCCCCCCCCCACTCTCCCAAAAGCTCACCCCGTGAGTCGGGGTTATTATGAATAGATTGAACATATAGTCGTGTAATTGTCTGGGTCTGCCTGAGAGACACCCACCCATTGCGGCCTGGCGTTGGAACATCTGCTCCCCCTCCCCCACCCCACCTCTTCCATTCTTTCAAGTCAGGTAACAAGCGCCGACAGTAGAACAGGAAGAATGCTTTATTTCAAGGGGGATAACTCCTGTTAACCATCATTTCAGATTAAAACTGTCTATGGCTAAGTCGTTTTCGATGTAAGCGCAAATTATTTTAAACAGGGTACATGTTCACATCATTGGGGGGTGAGGGGGGGGGGGGAGCAAGATATTCATCTCAGCTAATGTAAATTAATGACCCCCTTTGCGAAAGGTGTATAAATGACCCCTGTGAACCCAATGTAGAGTAATGACCCGACGAACAACGTCAGTTCTATTATTATCCACCGCTATTTTTAAAAACTCCATTTTGTACAAGAGAACACACCTTACGGGGTAGTAACTCTGGGCTTAATCAAATAATCATCTTCTAAACCAGTGGTTCTTTACATTTTTGGAGGTACCGAACCCTTACCAGTTTCATTTCCGCAGTCACCGAACCCTATCGTCCGCAATGACAAAATCCTACTGTGAATTATAGTAGTCCGATATGTCTTGACCTCCGCCAAAACCCCCAGACACTTACGGAACCCCTGGGGTTCGATCGAACCCGGGTCAAGAACCACTGTTCTGGACACAGAGCCAATGTGACGTAATGGTAACTAAGACAATGCTATGCTGACGATCAGAGGCGTAGCGACCCTTCCCGGCGCCCGGGGACAAA